CTTAAAATTTTTGTATTTTGTTACATATAGCGAGAAAAAATTCTAAGTACTCCTGTCGCGTTATTATTTTTCTTGTTTCCTGTTGTTTTGTTTCTTCTTCTTTTGTTATTGTTGTTATTGCCGCTTCTGCTGGGCTGTTGTCCTTCTTCTATTGTTTGTTACTTTTTTTTTTTTGCTTATGATTTGATGAAATTTTATTTTATTATTATTTTTTTATATTCTTGTGAAAAATGTTGATATTATTTGTACTGTATACCAGAGAAAAAAGTTTATTATTTTTTTCGTAGGGATTTTTTCTTGTTCAAACTAATTTAAGGAGTGAGTAAAATACCAGTTTTATAAAAAAAAGTTTAATAAGAATGTATAATAAGGCAGGGATTCTCAAATGTTTGTGTAACGCATTCTGGAATTTGCATCAAGTTGATTTCTTTAAAAGATTCTTGCCTATAACCAAACTAATAAAGCCTAAACCCCAAACGGTTTACTGATTTAGTCCAAAAGGCCAATGGCAACTACAAAACTAGTGATCTTAGTGGGTTGTATGACAGCCACATGCATTAACTTTGACATTCTTTTGGCAACTTGATTTTTTTTTCGTGATCGCGAGGTCAGTTTGCAATTGAAATGCGGTATGCCGATAAAGATCTCTAAATAAGATGTTTCGCCATCTCCTTTAAGCTGGAGCTCCACACTACGCGTTCTACGCTTCTTCGCATTCTACGCGGTTTCCAAAAAAGTAGAATCAATGTTGTTCTGTCCTACAAGTTACAAGCACAAAAGTATAGGATGCCTTGGCGCATAGAATGCTTAGAGTAGATCTACTATCTACTTTTGTAAGCGTCATAAGCGTCGCACGAACATGTCAGCTGATTTTGACAATTTATATTCTATTTTGAATGTGTATTATCAATTTTAATAAACTAAAACGAGTTAAATTGTGAAAATATAAATAATAAACATAAAAAACGCGAAGTTCTTTATAAATAAAGCAAAAAATTGAAATTGATTGATTAAGTCAGCTGGTGCTCCCATAATAAAGTGCTCTTAATGGCTGCACAGTGTGCTCCATTGCTTTTCACTCCATTAATTGTCCTTAAAACAATAGGTACTTAGCGACCACCTTTTACATCCATAAGATAACTTTATTTCCCAACTGGAAGCAATCGACTTCTTGTAGGTAAAAATAGCCACATTGACCTTCTTTATCCGAATCTGAAAGTTTAGATTCCAGTATAGTTTACTCTCTAGACGTCTAGAAAGTCTTAATCTTTTGACAATTACATCAAGTGTCCCAACAATATGACCGAAGTCTGTTATTAGTTGAGGTGAAAGTAGGAGTCTAAGAAAACTGTGGAATACTAACTTAAGCCATTATTCCACCATTTCAGAATCGCTGACTTTAAAGCGAATTTTATAAGATTTTCATATGTAACAGTGTACAGTGGGGTAGAATCAGTATTTTTTTTTTGGAAATAAATCTTGGGATTTCTAAAGCGTCCGATAGGGATAAAATGTGACATGGTCGTAGCCAAGGAGTATTCGAATTAAAATGATCCAGGGACGGTGCTCTGAGGCTCAAGTACAAATAACAAAATATTGTACTTTATAAAATTTTGCCCAAAAGGTCCACATTTCTCTGAGGTCTCTGAAAATACTGCCCCTGAAGAATTTATTACCGATCAAACCAGCCGTTTAGAAATACCAGATACATATATTTCTGAAAAATTTTAATTCTGCCCTACTGTGCAGTGTGTTAATATGATTCTGTGGATGTGAATCACAGTATTTAAACGTATTTTTTGACTTTAAAAAAGAAACAAAACAAAAAATCGTCTTTCGTTTATTAGAAATAATGATAAAAATTATGATGGTGATGATGTGCAAATTTGTGTATGTGATTTTTATTTGGTACTCTCTCTTAAATAGTATTACACGACAGTTAACATTTACAAATTGAAATAAATTTTGTGAAAATATCTTTAAAATACTAACCGACTGTGTTTATTGTAAATTATTTTATGGGAGGAAAGGTAAAAGTTTTATTTTAGCTGTAAATTGAAATAAAAATGATTCCAATGATTTCGTAACTTTGTTTTTGCAAGAGACAACAAACAAGTCAAAGGAACAAAATTAAGCCGAAAAAACACTGTTCCAGACAATTTGTGTTTAATATTTTTATATTTTTTTTTGGTTTCAGTTAGTTAAAGGCACACATTACAGAATTATTTTCTTTTTTTCAACTTTAACAATTGTTGTTGGTTTTTGTTGTTATATTTTGATAACTTTTTCACTTAATTTTCTTTAATATTTGTTGCATTTTTATGGTTGTTTTTGCAAATTTCATTTCATCATTTAATATTTCTTTTGTTTTTATTAATTGCCAACAAATTAAATTTCATTTATTTGGTTTATGAAAAACTTAATTGAAAATTGTGTGTTTGTGTGTGTATGTTTTTTTTTTGCACGGTCTCTTGTCTTTGTTTAACTTAAAAAAACAGGATAACAAACAACATGACTCAAAAGGACTACGCGGAAGACTAAAAAAGCACAAATGAAAATTTTCTTAATATATACAGGAAAGCAGTCAGCAGGCATCAGCACAGATACAGCCAAATAGACAGTCATTTTATTAGTTCGTATTCAACTTTACTTGTACCATTGCTCCTGGTTAAACACTCTCCTGTTTCACTTATTTTCTCCCTATTCTCAGTTATTTTAACTTTCGCCTAATGTTATGCTTTAGTTTTGTTCTAACTTTACTTCAGATGGTTCTTAACAGTTTGATTACAATTCGAACCACAAACCGCTGTCGATAATGAGTTTTCACACAATATGTATGGCGAGCAAAAAATTGTCTTGTGCTTGGCGATGGCGTTGTCAAATTAGACTATATACTAGACTATAGACTAGACTATAGACTAGACTATAGACTATACTATAGACTATACTATAGACTAGACTATAGACTAGACTATAGACTAGACTATAGACTAGACTATAGACTAGACTATAGACTAGACTATAGACTAGACTATAGACTAGACTATAGACTAGACTATAGACTAGACTATAGACTAGACTATAGACTAGACTATAGACTAGACTATAGACTAGACTATAGACTAGACTATAGACTAGACTATAGACTAGACTATAGACTATAGACTAGACTATAGACTAGACTATAGACTAGACTATAGACTATAGACTATAGACTAGACTATAGACTAGACTATAGACTAGACTATAGACTAGACTATAGACTAGACTAGACTAGACTATAGACTAGACTATAGACTAGACTATAGACTAGACTATAGACTAGACTATAGACTAGACTATAGACTAGACTATAGACTAGACTATAGACTAGACTATAGACTAGACTATAGACTAGACTATAGACTAGACTATAGACTAGACTATAGACTAGACTATAGACTAGACTATAGACTAGACTATAGACTAGACTATAGACTAGACTATAGACTAGACTATAGACTAGACTATAGACTAGACTATAGACTAGACTGTAGACTAGACTATAGACTAGACTATAGACTAGACTATAGACTAGACTATAGACTAGACTATAGACTAGACTATAGACTAGACTATAGACTAGACTAGACTATAGACTAGACTATAGACTAGACTATAGACTAGACTATAGACTAGACTATAGACTAGACTAGACTATAGACTAGACTATAGACTAGACTATAGACTAGACTATAGACTAGACTATAGACTAGACTATAGACTAGACTATAGACTAGACATAGACTAGACTAGACTATAGACTAGACTAGACTAGACTATAGACTAGACTAGACTATGACTAGACTATAGACTAGACTATAGACTAGACTATAGACTAGACTATAGACTAGACTATAGACTACTATAGACTAGACTATAGACTAGACTATAGACTAGACTATAGACTAGACTATAGACTAGACTATAGACTAGACTATAGACTAGACTATAGACTAGACTATAGACTAGACTATAGACTAGACTATAGACTAGACTATAGACTAGACTATAGACTAGACTATAGACTAGACTATAGACTAGACTATAGACTAGACTATAGACTAGACTATAGACTAGACTATAGACTAGACTATAGACTAGACTATAGACTAGACTATAGACTAGACTATAGACTAGACTATAGACTAGACTATAGACTAGACTACAGACTAGACTATAGACTAGACTATAGACTAGACTAGACTATAGACTAGACTATAGACTAGACTATAGACTAGACTATAGACTAGACTATAGACTAGACTATAGACTAGACTATAGACTATAGACTAGACTATAGACTAGACTATAGACTAGACTATAGACTAGACTATAGACTAGACTATAGACTAGTCTATAGACTAGACTGTAGACTAGACTGCAGACTAGACTGTAGACTAGACTATAGACTAGTCTATAGACTAGACTATAGACTAGACTAGACTATAGACTAGACTATAGACTAGACTATAGACTAGACTATAGACTAGACTATAGACTAGACTATAGACTAGACTATAGACTAGACTATAGACTAGACTATAGACTAGACTATAGTCTAGACTAGACTATAGACTAGACTATAGACTAGACTATAGACTAGACTATAGACTAGACTATAGACTAGACTATAGACTAGACTATAGACTAGACTATAGACTAGACTATAGACTAGACTATAGACTAGACTATAGACTAGACTATAGACTAGACTATAGACTAGACTATAGACTAGACTATAGACTAGACTATAGACTAGACTATAGACTAGACTATAGACTAGACTGTAGACTAGACTATAGACTAGACTATAGATAAGACTCTCAACCTTCTATTATTTTCTTGTTGAAGCGTTGCACAGTGGGTAAGATTAAAATCTGGAAATAAATCTGGCATTTTTAAACGGCTGGACCAGCCTACCGGACCGCTAGGAATAGAATTTGTCGAAGAATGTGCTCTATCGACTGCCACTTAATTGTAATTCGCCACCCTCTCTCTTTATATGCTTTGTCGACAGCGGTTCCAATTGTAATCAAGCTGTGTAAATAGTGCTTGCAAAACACTCTCTCTTTGATTCACCTTCTCTCTGCCAATTCTCTTTATTTCCAACTTTTGCCTAATGATATGCTTTAGTTTTGTTTTGTGGTGAAAAGCTTTTTCTTGTTTGCCTGCCAATTTTAACAACGTGGAGAGTTGCGTGCATGTGTTTGTTTGCACGTTATATTGCCTGGTGCTGTGTTTTGCAATTTTGAAGGCGTCGAAACGTTACTTTCGTTTTCCTTTAGCCTTTTTGTCGGTGTTTACGTTTGTTTGCCTAAGTGTATGCTAGCGTATGTGTTTAGACTTTTGTACTTTATGCTTTGCGATTTTTGTTGTTTTTGATTTTTTATGAATACCATGTGCCCGAATGACGTATTTTTTATAATGCGGGAATGTATGCCAATACAAATTAGTTCAAGAAATTTTTATCTCATAGACTTTTCTAAAGAACGCTAACTCCGTGGCTGGTTTCAGAAGTTCTACACCACATGATATTGTATTGATATCATGTCCTGAAGTTTGTAAACAACTTTTTAGCCATATCTGAGACGTTATATCAGTGCGAAGACAACTTTATTTATAAAGGGTGTTATATTATCTTAAAGTCCATTAAAATAAAAGTTTTACCTCTTTTGTATCTTCTTTCTTTTTCGAGATATCTTAACCTAAAGATGAAACAATTATGGGATCTATAGAAAGTACCTATCGTACTCATTGTATTTCCAAAATCTCAGCATAATACCCTTGAGACCTTCTGATCTCCCTTCCTTATTTTTTTGTTTTCATTATTTTTTGATAGTTCTTTTACTTTTTGGTACGACTGTTTTCTCTTTCAAATCTGAAGGTCATATCTCATGCCAGCGGAATTTTTAATAAATTCTGTGTTTATATAAAATTAAGTATATCGATTAAGACAAATTGAACACTATCGTTTTATTGTTAAGAATGTATATTTTATAAATAAAAATATGACAATTTTAATTCGTACGCTAATACTTTAAAGAATATTTAATTAAAATTAGCATAAAACCTTTATAAATTATAGAGATTAAGAAAAGAACAGATCTCTTTGATCTTGAATTACTTTCTTTAGTGTTGTTGTAATTATATTAATTAGTTTCAAATAACACTGAGAAAAAATATTTAAAACTAATTTAAGTTTTTTTTAGAGGATTTGGAAAACATAGATCAGGCTTGTTTTGAATTTTTAAAATTTATAAATATGGAACGTTTTTGAAAAGATTTTCATAAATTTGCCTAAAATGGCGATTGATCTCACATTTTTTTCAGTGTACAAATTGTTCTCAACTAGAATATTTTGTTTCCAAAAAAATAACTACATAAATTTACATTAATTAATAACTATTCATGAATATTAAACTAAAATTTAAAAAAAAGTAGTAGATATTAAAAATTAACTATTAAAAGAATTTTCAGTTTCATGGTCACTCTCGTCAAGATCACTTCATTCACTAAGAAGGTCACGTAAAAAAAACTAATTACAAACAAAATGAAATTAACAGTATTTTTTGGTTTAATGGCTCTGTTCGCCATCATCTTTAGCGCTGAAGCAGGAAGAAAGTAAATATACAAATTGCCAATAAAATATTAAAAGAATATATGTTAAATCTTTAAAATTAATAACATTTCAGATACCAATTTATACCCGCCAAATGTGTAGAACATGATACCCAGAAGCAAATAGATGGTCCTTTGAAAGTTTGCACTTTCCCCCCTAAACACAAGCCAGTGCCTCAGGAAGACATTAATGCTGTTATTAAGCATATACAAACTTTACAATTAGATTGAGTAAATAAATTAATTTAAAACAAATCATTTTTCCGTTTAGTGTTTTATTATTTTGGGTAAATTTGATTTACTTTTTAAACAAATATAAATAGTTGTTTAGTGTTTTTTTTAATGACTTTATTTGTTTTTCTTATTTCTCTTAACATTTTGTTATGGTTGTTTTCTTTTTCTTTAACTTCACTTTATTTAAAGACATTTAAATTAATTATAATATGTATAGTTTAATTAATTTTATTCGTACTAACGATTTACAAAAAAACAAAAAATTGCTAAATTTTTTCTTCCCCTTCTACTTCTTCTTTAAGTTACTCTCTTTCGTTCTTAATTTGAAGCCCGGGCGGCATATTGCTTCATTCTAGCCTCAATTTCTGGTCTGAAGTGACGAATCAAACCCTGTACGGGCCAAGCAGCACCATCACCCAAAGCGCAGATAGTGTGTCCTTCAATTTGTTTGGAGATTTCCCACAACATATCGATTTCAGAGGGATCAGCATTACCGGCTACAAATCTGTAGAGAATTAGAAATAAAATTTATTTATGTTCGATTTTCCACTAAATTAGAAAGTTAAAATGTTTGATATCTTTTAAGTATAACAAAATTATAAGCTATCGTAAGTCCGCGTGCTTGCGGTAGGTTAGTAGTTAGATTGTTAGTGTGCCAGACCATAGGTTTTGGCACTAACTAACTAACTAACTAACTAACTAACTAACTAACTAACTAACTAACTAACTAACTACTAACTAACTAACTAACTAACTAACTAACTAACTAACTAACTAACTAACTAACTAACTAACTAACTAACTAACTAACTAACTAACTAACTAACTACTAACTAACTAACTAACTAACTAACTAACTAACTAACTAACTAACTAACTAACTAACTAACTAACTAACTAACTAACTAACTAACTAACTAACTTACTAACTAACTAACTAACTAACTAACTAACTAACTAACTAACTAACTAACTAACTAACTAACTACTAACTAACTAACTAACTAACTAACTAACTAACTAACTACCTAACTAACTAACTAACTAACTAACTAACTAACTAACTAAATAACTAACTAACTAGCTAACTAACTAACTACTAAGTTTGGTCGAGTTGAAGTGAAGATCCAATTGTCACATAAACGTTTATCAATACGAGAACAGCTTTTAATGATGAAAGGTGCAACAAGGCAATACAGGGTGTCCAAATACTAGTGATGACATCGCCAACTATTAACTAGAGTAAAATAGTGACTCTGAAATAAAGACTATACTGAATCCAATCACAGTGGGCTCTGAGGCACTTCACGAAGAGATGTGCTTGAACATTGAAAGTTGAAATAATTGAGGCAATCTGGAGACAGCGATAAGCGACACTAATTGAAAAGCTCAGTCTCAGATATTGTTCTAGTAAAAGCCTTGTAACTCTCTATATCTGCAATATAGTCTAATATACCGGCACTCATTGAAAAACTCAATCTCAGAGGTTGATATTGCTAAGTTCGTAAGTGTTCTAGGAAAAGCCTTGTAAGTCTCAATATCTGCAATATAGTCTGAATTTTTGCTGTGTTGTCGATTTCTTACTACTTGCTGATTCTTTTTTTAGTTGTAAATCAGCAGAAGTGCATAAAACATCACTCATTATGCCAACCACGAAACTTTTCACTTAGAATTAATGTAAAAAAATCTTACATTTTTTCCAATAACCCTTAAAATTCTTATATTTCACCATCACAATTTACTTACCTGCCCATAATCTTGTTCATCCAGCCAATACCCTCACGGCAAGGTGTACATTGACCACAACTTTCGTGCTTATAGAAGGAAATCAAACGAGCAATGGCCTTAATAACATCTGTTGACTTGTCCATAACAATGATGGCGGCGGTACCCAAAGAAGTTTGAGCAGCAATAAGACCATCAAAGTCCATTATCACATCATCACAGACATGCTTAGGGATGATGGGTGTGGAAGAACCGCCGGGAATGACACCCAAAAGATTATCCCAACCACCACGAACACCGCCAGCATGACGTTCGATAAGTTCCTTCAAGGGAATGGACATTTCTTCCTCAACAGTGCAAGGATTATTGACATGACCGGAAATGTTGAAAAGTTTAGTACCCGAATTACGAGTACGACCGAAACTGGCAAACCAAGCACCACCGCGACGGCAAATGGTGGGTGAAACGGCAACGGTTTCAACATTGGTTACAGTAGTGGGGCAACCGAAGAGACCGACATCAGCAGGGAATGGAGGCTTTAGGCGGGGTTTGCCTTGCTTGCCTTCGAGGGATTCAATCAAAGCGGTTTCTTCACCACAGATATAGGCACCAGCACCACGATGCATGAAGACATCGAAATCGTAGCCAGAGCCGCAGGCGTTTTTACCAATTAAACCAGCTTGGTAAGCTTCAGCAATGGCCAATTGCATGTTGGAAGCTTCATTGTAGAATTCACCGCGAATATAAATATAGGCAGCTTGAGCACCCATGGCACGGCCGGCAATCAAACAACCTTCAACCAACTTATGGGGATCATGACGCATAATATCACGATCCTTGCAGGTACCAGGTTCACCTTTAAGTAACAAAATTTTAAATAACCTCACTTTTGCCCCCAAGTTCCAAATCTTGTACTTACCTTCATCAGCATTGACCACCAAGTATTTGGGACGGCCATCGGAGGGTTTGTTCATGAATGACCATTTCATGCCACTGGGGAAACCAGCACCACCACGACCACGTAGACCTGAAGTTTTGATTTCATTAATAATCCAATCGGCACCCTTCAACATGATTTCCTTGGTCTTGTACCAATCACCACGTTTCAAGGCACCCTTCAAACGCCAATCATGACGACCATACAAATTGGTGAAGACACGATCTTGATCGGCCAAATTACCAAATTTGGTTTTAGTTTGTGGTGGTGGTGTTCCGGGTGGTGGTGCCTGCGTGCTTTGCAAACGACGTTGCGCCGCAATTGGCAAAACGCACGCTGAAAATAGAAAAAATCAATTACTTTCATAGTTCCATATATTATATGTGCAATTATGATGAAATTATAAGTTATTAAAACTAAAACGTAATTATCTGTCGTCTATTATACAAATTATGAAAATTTTTCTGTTTTTCTCAAAGTTCTTGTTGTTGTTTTGCCAGCGCAAGTCTGAGAAAAATTACATAATTTGTACAAGTTTTAAAAGTAATTTTTCACACTTTAATCTCAATAGATTTTTATGTTTTATACATCATTCATTGAGGTTTCGACTAATTAAACTATTGGCATTAAATTTTTTAAAGAATTTTATTAAAATTCTTACCAATTTGCGGTTTTGTTAAAATATTTAATCGCACAATTGCTCCTGCCATCGTCTGGTAGAAATGACACTGTTGTAAAAATGTGCAGTCGTTATGAAAAGTACGCTTTTTGATGTTAATACTAAAATTTGCTACTTTGTGTTTATTTTTTTGACAGTTGAAAATGTATTGATTTCGATAATAGTGATGTGTACGTTTGTATTTGGCTGTTGTTTTTTAATTCAAGTTATGTTTTTCTTTAAATATTATTTTATTATATGATTGTTTCCAAATAATTTAAATAAAATTCAGCGGCTTATTTTATAACTAAAAAATTTTTTGTAATTATATGTACAATAATAAGGGAAATTAATAAAATATGCTCTTAAAAATTAAAGTTTTTAACAACAAATTGTTATTTATTATGATTATTATTAACATATCGGTGGAGTATATTCAAGAGTATCTGCTATGTTAAAAATTACGAGTTATATATAAAATTTAAAAGAAATAAATAAAATCAGGTATATATGATTAAACCTTATAATAAAACTAAATTAATTAGTATCATAACGGGTAATATAACGGATATGTGTTCAATATGTCGAAATTAGTAAGAAAACTTATTTAGCAATATATTCTCTCGATATATTGAGCATACATATAGTATGTACTTAGCTATCGAAAATTAATACATTTGAATTGAAGAATGAAGAAATAGCTATCTGAACTCCTTGGGACAATTTTTGCTAGGACCAATAGGTGAAAAGTTACACTCATTTGAATAAAACCCTGTATGACCAAAACGTCCAACTTTGACCCCCTCTGATTCCTGCAGTTCTTGACCGATAGAGCTGAAAATTTGTGTCTGACCTAATATCCCATAGTACTTGGTGCAAATTTCCAAATCGGAAGACATCGATTTTTAAAGTTGGGTCACTTGACATGAAATTCCCCATATATTAAAATCACGAATAACTGTATTAAAAAACATAAATTTTAAAAATATACATATGTTTTCCCCCAATATTTTCAATGAGAACAAACAAAAAAGTTTATATGTCTATTAAATATTCATTAATTTTTAAAAATACGGTAAAATTTATAAATATTATACATACAATTAAGAAAAAGATTAATTTTATATTATTGTCCTTAATATTTTATAGAGCCCTGCTATAAATGTCCATTATCTGTAAATCTATTTCAATATATTTTGGATAAGGCTGTATAATTTTTATTAAAATTTAATTTTTTTAAGAAAATAAAATAATTTTTAGTAAATAAGTTTAAATTTTTATTTTTAACAGGCTAAAATCCGTTATAAAGTTGACGCCGTCATTCGTATAATGAGACGCCGCCTTTGAACAAATTTATTTAACTTAGGACTCTGTCTTGTAAAAACAGCTGTTTGTTGTTATCCAAAAAAATATATGGTTGAGAAAGATATTTTTCGCTTCTCTGTACCAAAAATTCACTTGATTTTGTGGACACAAATTTATTGTTTATATTAATTGATTATTAAATTTATTAACTTTTCTATTCTTCATCTATTACTAAAGAACGTTGAATTGTAATTGCAAATGGAAGCAGTAGCTTTGCCAGCCGACACAGTGACCCGGTCACAAACTGAAGTTATTACTCAGGAAGACGTCTTAGATACGTCGGTAAGATAAGCAGTTTGTGTTTAGATAATAATGTAGATAATGTTGGTTCTTAACAAAAACTGATGAAATATTTTGATTTGTTTTGCTGACTAAGGGCTAAGATTACAACTGCGTTACAAAATTGTTTACTTTTTTCTCTAAACTCAAATTTGTTAATAATTTTGTTAGCGTTTAGCACAATTCCACCTAACGGTAGGTAGTTCATGTCACATTCATATACATAGAAGGCTTTATCTCACTATTTAGAAGCTAAAGGCTCCATATAAGATGCAAAGCTTCCAATTTGTGAATAATTAAATATCTATCGATAGTAGAGGACACGGCTCACCTGAGCTCCAAATGGAACAACAAGCATAATGCTTAGTTGACTCTCATAGAGAGTGTTTAACAAATGCCCTGCTTGTGATGAAGATCCCATGTTAGCTTCTTCATTTAGCACCTAATTAGATTATAGTATAGTTTCATCTTTTACAATAACGCCAATTAAAATCGCATATCATGTAGTTTTTGACGAAATGATGGCTTAAGAAGAGACCGACAAACGTCTTAATTTTATACGCAAATATGTATTTGACTATATCAGAGTATAACTCTGTAATTTTCGAAACGAATTACAGAATATCGTCTCAGGTTGCATATAAAATTTATGTAGTTTTCCAATTTGCTTTTATTTCTCTTCTTTTTAGTCCCAACCAGTTTTAAGGCTACGCTTAAAAAAACCTAAAAGCGACAAAAAAGTTGTCTGGCATGAAGGTACCGTCGACAATGAACATATGAACAAAAAGAAATCCAAATGTAAGTTTGATATTCGAAGAAAAAAACTACTAAAATCTTTAATAAAACTATTAATTATTACAATTACTAGGTTGTTGTATATACAAAAAACCTGTAGCTTTTGGTGAAAGTTCTTCGGAAGACGATGAAGAATGTGAACATTGTTTTGGACATCCTGAAAAGCGGCGTAGGAATCGTAAACCCGAAGATGGTGGAGAAGAACATCAACATGATGACAACGAACCCTGTCCGCATGATGAACACAAAGATGCTGCTTAATTTAAACAGTAATTTAAAACTAATAATTTTATATTTAATCGTTTAAATTATATTAAAATATATAAGAACACACAAAATAAAACAAGAAATCCTCATTAAACATTAAAAATAATTGTAAAAACGCCAATGAAACAGTTTACTTACTTTTTTGTTCGTAAATTCCTAGAATTAATTAAAAAATCATTAAAATTTTTCAAATCTCATTTTAAATAGTTGTCTTTTTTCTGTAATTTATTAGCAAAATATATATATTTAATAACAAGTTACACATTAAGATTTGTTAAACATAAAAAAGTAAAAAAAACAAAATAAATTTTAAAAAATTGCTATAAGTTGATTCTAATAACATGCATTATTATTTCTTCAATTTTAACACTTGTTCTCTTTTCCAATTTCTGTTGCCAAACAAAGAATAGTATTTTTTTAATAAAGTTGTTTTTTAATTATTTTATTGCTTAAAAAGCTTTTTAAAATTTTGTTTATATTTCAATAACAAGTTTTGTTTAATTTTCTTCAACATTTAACAAATGTACTGTTCTACAGTTTATTTTTTTCAAAGATTTTTTTGTTTGTCTACAAACTACATAGGGTCTACTGCTATTAACTAATTCACATTTAAGTATTTAAAGATATTTGATTTTCTTTTAAATATTGCCGCATAGTTTTTTAAAGGATTTTTTTATGTAAATATTAATTTATGCAGATTTATTTAACTTTAAATCAAATGCTTCTGTATTATTTGTTGTATCAATTTTAAGTTCTTTAGCTTTAGAACGTGATCGCCAAATCTGAAAATTAATAAAAAACGATAATAAATTAAGTTTTTTATACCCTCCACCACCATCAGTGGTGATAGAGGGTATATATAACTTTGTCATTCCGTGTGTAACACCAAGAAATATTCATCTGAGACCCAACAAAGTATATATATTCTGGGTCCTTATTAAATTCTGAGTCGATTTAGCTATGTCCGTCTGTCCGTCTGTCTGTGTAAAACACGCTCACGATAAAACGAAGCAATAGAGCTTAACCAAATTTACCCAAAATGTTCTTCATTTTCCTAAGTTGTTTGGTATTGCAAATGGGCAAAATCGGTTCACACCGGGAAAAGTTATGAATCAAAATTTAAAACAACCTCGGAAAAAAATAAGCATTTTTTACACATTCTGATGTAATTTTCTCGAAAACTATGCAAGATAATTCCATGGAAATCACCATACATTCGTTTCTGCACAAGATCTTGATCCCCGCTGAAAATTTCCAGAATCGGTCCACAATTTCATATACTTCCCATACAAAAGTACATATTCCCGGAAAATGGGTTTTTTGTTAATAACTTCCGCCACAATGTCGATATCTTCACAAAATTTTACAAATCAAAATCTTATGTCATTAGAATTCTTTCAGAGGAAAAATTTTATGGATCGGTCCATAATTGGACATAGCTCCCATACAAGGTCCCCTCCCGAAAATCACTTAAACGCGCATAACTCATTACTAAATTAAGATATCCATATAAAATTTGGTATAAGTATTGCCCATATGCATAGAAATATTACTGTGAAAGTTTTTTCCGATCGGTCCATAATTGGTTATAGCTCCCATACAAGGTCCCCTCCCGAAAATCACTTAAACGCGCATAACTCAGTACTAAATTAAGATATCCATATAAAATTTGGTATAAGTATTGCCCATATGCATAGAAATATTATTGTGAAATTTTTTTCCGATCGGTCCATAATTGGTCATAGCTCCCATACAAGGTCCCCTCCCGAAAATCACTTAAACGCGCATAACACATTACTAAATTAAGATATCCATATAAAATTTGGTACAAGTATTATTCATATGCACAGAAATATTACTGTGAAATTTTTTTCCGATCGGTCCATAATTGGTCATAGCTCCCATACAAGGTTCCCTCCCGAAAATCACTTAAACGCGCATAACTCATTACTAAATTAAGATATCCATATAAAATTTGGTATAAGTATTGCCCATATGCATAGAAATGTTACTGTGAAAATTTTTTTCGATCGGTCCATAATTGGTCATAGCTCCCATACAAGGTCCCCTCCCGAAAATCACTTAAACGCGCATAACTCATTACTTAATTAAGATACCCATATGGTACAAATATTACTCATATGCACAGAAATATTTTAGATAATTTGTTTTCCGATCGGTCCATAACTGGTCATAGCTCCCATACAAGTTCCCCTCCCGAAAATCACTTAAACGCACATAACTCATTACTAAATTAAGATATCCATATAAAGTTTGGCAGAAATATTGCTCATATATAGAGAAATATTACTGTGAAATTGTTTTCCTATCGATCCATAATTGATCATAGCTCCCATACAAGGTCCCTTTCAGAAAAACACTTAAAGGCACATAACTCATTACCAAATAATGATATAAATAAATACTATTTTTGTTCATAAATACTATTTTGTAATGCAAAAAGCACTTAATGTTATTTGAAAAATTTTTCACGATCGGTCTATATTTGGTCATATCTCTCATACTAGGTCCTGCCCCTAAAAGCGCTTTAACCGTATTTAACTATTTGCATTATCAATTTGTGTAGAACAAAATTATATATATGTATGTATGTATTTTTAAAATCCTTAAATCTTTCACACACATGCATACATGCAAATACGAGATATCGCTAAAGCTATCTTAGGGCGCTATACAAATTTAAATTAAAGTGGCGTTTCTAATGTTCAATAAATCTTGGAATTGTAGTAGATTTAAGCTGTTTAAATCTTGGGATTTTTCTATTTAAGACATGAGAAAACTTATTTCTACAAATATTTTATTAATTAGAAATGTATTAATACAAAAGTTGCTGGTGGATGGTATTTAAGATTCGGCTCAGCCGAATATAGCACTCTAACTTGTTAATTAATAAAATATCTATATAAAATAAGGGCGTATAAAGGATTACATTTTTAGGGGGAATACTTATGGAAAGTTTTATGATCTTTAAAAGATCGATTGAAAGATTTTTTTAAAACATTTTAAGACGTATTGAGCATGAAACTAAGAATCTACAGTCTAGTCTATAGTCTAGTCTATAGTTTAGTCTAGTCTGTAGTTTAGTCTATAGTCTAGTACATATTCTCGTCTACAGTACAGTCTATAGTCTAGTGTATAGTCTAGTCTATAGTCTAGTCTACAGTCTAGTCTATAGTCTAGTCTATAGTCTAGTCTATAGTCTAGTCTATAGTCTAGTCTATAGTCTAGTCTATAGTCTAGTCTATAGTCTAGTCTATAGTCTAGTCTATAGTCTAGTCTATAGTCTAGTCTATAGTCTAGTCTATAGTCTAGTCTATAGTCTAGTCTATAGTCTAGTCTATAGTCTAGTCTAGTCTAGTCTATAGTCTAGTCTATAGTCTAGTCTATAGTCTATAGTCTATAGTCTAGTCTATAGTCTAGTCTATAGTCTAGTCTATAGTCTAGTCTATAGTCTAGTCTATAGTCTAGTCTATAGTCTAGTCTATAGTCTAGTCTATAGTCTAGTCAATAGTCTAGTCTAAAGTCTAGTCTATAGTCTAGTCTATAATCTAGTCTATAGTCTAGTCTATAGTCTAGTCTATAGTCTAGTCTATAGTCTAGACTATAGTCTAGCCTATGGTCTAGTCTATAGTCTAGTCTATAGTCTAGTCTATAGTCTAGTCTATAGTCTAGTCTATAGTCTAGTCTATAGTCTAGTCTATAGTCTAGGCTATAGTCTACTCTACAGTCTAGTCTATAGTCTAGTCTATAGTCTAGTCTAGTCTATAGTCTAGTCTAGTCTAGTCTAGTCTAGTCTAGTCTATAGTCTAGTCTAGTCTAGTCTAGTCTAGTCTAGTCTAGTCTAGTCTAGTCTAGTCTAGTCTAGTCTAGTCTAGTCTATAGTCTAGTCTAGTCTATAGTCTAGTCTAGTCTATAGTCTAGTCTATAGTCAAGTCTAGTCTAGTCTATAGTCTAGTCTAGTCTATAGTCTAGTCTAGTCTATAGTCTAGTCTATAGTCTAGTCTATAGTCTAGTCTATAGTCTAGTCTAGTCTAGTCTAGTCTAGTCTATAGTCTAGTCTATAGTCTAGTCTATAGTCTAGTCAATAGTCTAGTCTATAGTCTAGTCTATAGTCTAGTCTATTTTCTAGTCTATAGTCTAGTCAATAGTCTAGTCAATAGTCTAGTCTATAGTCTAGTCTATAGTCTAGTCTATAGTCTAGTCTATAGTCTAGTCTATAGTCTAGTCTATAGTCTAGTCTATAGTCTAGTCTATAGTCTAGTCTATAGTCTAGTCTATAGTCTAGTCTATAGTCTAGTCTATAGTCTTGTCTATAGTCTAGTCTACAGTCTAGCCTATAGTCTAGTCTATAGTCTAGTCTATAGTCTAGTCTATAGTCTAGTCTATAGTCTAGTCTATAGTCTAGTCTATAGTCTAGTCTATAGTCTAGTCTATAGTCTAGTATATAGTCTAGTCTATAGTCTAGTCTATAGTCTAGTCTATAGTCTAGTCTATAGTCTAGTCTATAGTCTAGTCTATAGTCTAGTCTATAGTCTAGTCTATAGTCTAGTCTATAGTCTAGTCTATAGTCTAGTCTATAGTCTAGTCTATAGTCTAGTCTATAGTCTAGTCTATAGTCTAGTCTATAGTCTAGTCTATAGTCTAGTCTATAGTCTAGTCTATAGTCTAGTCTATAGTCTAGTCTATTGTCTAGTCTATAGTCTAGTCAATAGTCTAGTCTATAGTCTAGTCTATAGTCTAGTCTATAGTCTAGTCTATAGTCTAGTCTATAGTCTAGTCTATAGTCTAGTCTATAGTCTAGTCTATAGTCTAGTCTATAGTCTAGTCTATAGTCTAGTCTATAGTCTAGTCTATAGTCTAGTCTATAGTCTAGTCTATTGTCTAGTCTATAGTCTAGTCAATAGTCTAGTCTGTAGTCTAGTCTATAGTCTAGTCTATAGTCTAGTCTATAGTCTAGTCTATAGTCTAGTCTATAGTCTAGTCTAGTCTATAGTCTAGTCTATAGTCTAGTCTATAGTCTAGTCTATAGTCTAGTCTATAGTCTAGTCTATAGTCTAGTCTATAGTCTAGTCTATAGTCTAGTCTATAGTCTAGTCTATAGTCTAGTCTATAGTCTAGTCTATAGTCTAGTCTATAGTCTTGTCTATAGTCTAGTCTACAGTCTAGCCTATAGTCTAGTCTATAGTCTAGTCTATATTCTAGTCAATAGTCTAGTCTATAGTCTAGTCAATAGTCTAGTCAATAGTCTAGTCTATAGTCTAGTCAATAGTCTAGTCT